GGCCTTCAGTTGGCCGCAAAAATCCGCCAATACTTGCAGCAGACATGTACGAAAGGTATAAATGGAGCATGACCTGTTGGCTGATGTTCAGCCAAATACCAGTGACGTCATATCGCCAGCTGATGCCTTACGGCATTTCGTCGGTCCTAGAGGACACGTGGAAACCCACGACCATTGACGTCTTACAATCGGTCGTATAGCAGTGACGTCGTTAGCTGACACCTTGTGGTCTTCAGTTGGCCGAAAGGCACCGGTGAAACTCGTGACCAGTGACGTCACACACTCAGGTGGTTCGGCAGCTTTCATCCAGCACGCCAATGCTTGCAGTAGTCAGATACAAAGGTAAAAATAAAGCACGGCCTGTTGCGCTCAGTATTTATTCGAATACCAGTGGCGTCACGCTATCCGGTGATACTTCGTAGACCATGACACACCGTGGTCGTGGGGCCTAAGTGCACCCGTATGAAGTGATGATTAGGGACGTCACACATTGAGGTGATTCGGTCAAACCTTTATGCGGCACGCAAATGCTTGCAGCAGTCAGGTACGAAAAGTAAAGATGGAACGAGGCCGGTCGCCGAGGTCGGTCGAGGCCTGATGTTTAATCGAATAACAGTGACGACACATGGCCAGCTGATGCATTACGGCATTCGGTGGACCCAAAAGAGCCTTGCAAACTCACGACCCGTGACGTCACATACCCAGCCGAATACCAGTGACATGTCACATTCAAAAGCCTTATGGCCTTCAGTCGGCCCGAAAGGACCCCCATCCCGATCGATGCAAAACCATTTTCAGTGACGTCACAATGTCAGCCGATGCCTCACAGCTTTTCCCCCGGACGACAATACTCGAAACCCTGCAGCTAGCGTAGCTCTTCCCTCCGTCGGCCATACAGGTACCAAAGTAAAAAATTACCAACTAAGCTTAGTGCTCTGGATGTTGTGCTCTGAGTAGAGCTTTGCGTCTCTGGAGCCTTGGGTACCTTACGGGGTGCATCGTATATGCGTCGTTGAGGCTCCCAAAAGATCCCATGATCCCATTAACATGGAACCTTAGGGGATCCTGGATCCACCATTGGGATCCGGGCACATGTCCTGCTGGTATCGTTTGATTCTGATCATGTGGACTCAGTTCTCAACCTGAACTTTCATTTGTGGAGTTGATTCAGATTCTGACTGAATATCATGGCACAAGTTGATGTCAACTGTAGCTCTGACTGAAGTGCTATCCAATTCTGGGGCCAGTTTTTCAGAGACAAACATATATCATGGGCTTCATAAGAGCCTCACAAACAGGATTGCTCTTGCATGAATGTGTTACATCACATACACCCACCAACCATCAGACCACAAATACACTTTGCAGCAATTGTGCTGGTGTCAATTTTTATGCTTGTGTGTTGCTTAATTGGTTTAATTCATAGCTCCACCTGAAGAGCTATGGATAACCACCACCGGAGTTCGTGAGGTCTGAAGCACCCAAAGGAATATTCAGGGATATTGGACTAGGTATATCTTTTCTACATGGGATTACATCATATCAGAATTGGACCACAGCAACTTTTTAGGTAACCTTTGCCCATAGAGCTATGTATGGCATACCAAATTTGGTACACATAAGCTATGAGGGTATGTATATATTCTGTTGGTTTGAGTTAGTTTGCTCATTGTTTGGTGGTCCCTGCTCTGACTAGCTGAAAACCTGAAATTTTAAAGGAATTTTGTCCTGACCTAATGCAATTTTAGTGATTTCTGAATTGATTCAGACTCTCCCAGGAGATGGGTACAGGTCTGCAAGTATGTGGATGCTACATGCATGAAACTGCTGCTGTGTATCATACCAATATCTCCATGTTTATAGTGAGGTATGATTTTGCAGGGGCAGTGGAAATCCTTAGAGGGGTGGGATGGTCATGTTTCCTAGATTTCTTTTCAGTTAATACCAGTGCATTTTGTTGTTGTAGAAAGCTGAGAGAGATGTGCCCCCATGGCAGAAGATATAAGTATTAAGCAGCTATATTGTCATGCTTTCCAATTTCCTGCAGGGGCATCTAGAAGCATGAATGCAGGTTATCAGAAATTGATGCAATGATGCTTTTTATTAAAAGGCATTTTCTTGCTATGAAATTCTCTACTTCCATGCATGCTACTTGCCCATGAAAATGCAACATGCAAAGCAGTGCTTGACTTCTTTGAAAATATATTTTGGAATGACTCCGCCATGCTTCTTATTGTCAATGCCCGAGTAATTACATGCTGTGTGCAAAGGAGGACAATTCATAGACCTAACTTGCTAAAACAATTTTTTTTCTGACACTTGAGGCAAATAAAGCTGTCTGCACGCAACATAAATAGTAAGCTGCGGTAATATCACCTTATTCTCAGCAACTATCACTTGCATATGCTTTAACCTTCTAGACTCCCCATCATGAATTTGTGTGGTACACTTCCTGTTTCTGCAGTTATCACCCATAGACAGGTGACTGTGAACCAAACTGGGAACACCTATACAGGATCTAGGAACAGAAACTGTACTAGGAACACCTTTAACATTGGTGTTCACCATGACATATAAGTGGGGCCGTAGTCAGGACTTCATATTTTTTTTTTACACAAAGTGGAATCAGAAGTCAGCAGCTACATGGTTTGCACTTGTGAAGCTGAAGCCAGGGGCTCCTACTTAAGAAACCTGAACCCAAAGTCAAATGATAATCAGTTCAAAACCGCGAGGCTGAGATTGAATCTAGTGCCCAATGTTGTTTCCCATATTCAAGTCTATAAGGCTTACATTAATTACAATCGTCATTCTTGATTAATTACAAGGCTGTCGCAGATTGATGAGCAGGTGATTGGACTACAAATAATTTTTTGGTGGCTAGCATCCTCGTCATTGGGTTTTACGACGCACTCAACGGCTGTGGCCATACGGTGTCACCTGTCCGAGCACCGAGGGAATCGAACCCCGTACCCCTGGCGTCCTAAATGCGCAGCTTATCCACTACGCTACCGGTAACCCAAGCTATCGACCTCGTTTTCCGTTCCGTGTTAGTATGCGCACAACTTTTCGGGCAGCTCTCCGGCCCTCGCTGGTAGTTTATTGGTATCAAGAATGACCGACTCAGTGACTGGTTTTGGTTTTCAGTCACAGATACGTTGCCATCTTGAAAAGTTGTGTCGTATATTGAGGTAACGGGAGAGGCAGTGCTGTTGCGTACTTAAACGGCAACTGCGGTGAAAAATAATGACAAACCTAATGCAGTTTAAGTTGGCTCGGTACCGAAGATAGAGCCATAGCGGAAAACTTGATGCCGAAGCCGAAGCCGAAAACAGCTGCTAAAAATGTGAAGTTGAAGCCGAATCCTACCTTTGAGAATGCTACGATGCTGAAGTCGAAGTCAGAGTCGGTCGTGGAAAAAGGGGTCACAGCCGAATCCGAACCCGAAGTCATTGGGGAAGATTACAGCTTCGCGAAGCCGAAGCCGGTTTCAGAACTGAACAGAACTTCAGAACAGAACAAACAGAAGACTGTTCCAAATGCTTAAGATAATATGGTGACAACCCGCAACTAGTGATCGCTTGAAGAGCCTGCTACACCGGGAAATGCATTGAAGCCGTGAACACCGGCCGTGTTTTCAGCACCGAGGATTACGCGGTCCGTAGGGGTACCGCTAAGCACCTCAGCCACCGGGGGGGGGGGGGGGGGGGGGGGGGCGGCGGCGGGGCTCCTGGTGACATGCCGCCCAGCCGAGTATCTGGCGCTGAGGTGACCGGAGAGTGTGCTCTCAGATACCGCGGAATGCGTTTGTCTTGGCACGGCGACAGCGCGACGGTGGGTGGGGGAGGGAGGGGGCGGGGTCGGACGACACCGCCTCCGCTCCGGAAGCTCAGCTCACATGGCGACGCGCTGGGGCCGGTTGGTCGTCACGGGCCGACGGCGGGCCTGCTGCGGACGCCGGCTGGCGGAGCCGACAGCGCCCATTGGATGACTCGGTTAAAGTTTGTGACGTCGATGTTCCGAGACCATCGACAGGCGACGAAGATGTGTTTGGTTCACGACGCTGCGGTGACAGCAGAAGGACGTGTCAGTCATGTGTCGGTGTGCTGTGTGTGGCGTCCCTGGGATCTGTTTTGGACGATGCTCCAGTTTCAGCCACTACTCACCTCAGCCGGCCTGCAGCGTGGTCCTTAAAATTAACTCAAGATAAACGACATAGCCCATGAGGCATTTGCTACATAGGAACATTACTGACGACATAACCTGTATTCTGCCCCTAATGGTTTCTTCAAAACGCCTGAAACAACGTACTTTTTTGTTCGTAACCGTTTCTCAAGGACACGATGGAAGCTCATTGACCTGCCAAAGAAAACTTTTAGTTAAGTGCGTGGAAAGCTGCGACACGCTCTTGTGATCCATTTGTTATCCGCCTGTGGCCATTTTACTCATAACGTTTTATAATCCTGCGAAGTTTCTGCCTTGGCTCAGACCCTACGGGCGCAGCGCAGGCGGGAATGGTGCTCATATTATGTCGGTGTCAGTCCATAGCGCTACAGTCGACGGCAAGACCTACGAGTGACGATATATCTACACGTCGGACTTTGCTAGGGTTGAAATATATTGTGTCTAGGAGAATGTATTGTTCGTTCCCCGGACAATGTAAGACTTGTATAACAGACTCAGTCCCAGTAGCCAGCGGGGTTACTGATTTAATGGAAGAACACCAACAGCGTGACCCAGGTCATGGTGCCCGCCGCCTGTGACGGCGATGCCTGCGATAGCACCGGCCGCCTGACTGACTCTGGCCCATTCGCAGGACTGTTTGACGCGTGACCAGCGCTAGCTAGCGACATTGCCGGTGCCGGTCGGGAGGGCCGCGCCGCCGCCACTGCCAGCCATGGCCGCGCTGCGCCTGGCGGCCGCGCGCCTGCTGCTCTGCTGCTGCTGCCTGTGGCAGCCGGCGCCGCTGTGGGCGCGCGCCGCGCAGCACCTCTACGCGCCGGCCGACGCGCTGGCCGGACACGTGGTGGCGGAGCTGGGCGACAACGCCCGCCTGCTGCCGTCCGAGCTGAGTGACCGGTTCGCGCTGACAAGCAGCGGCCAGCTGATGGCGCTGGCGCCGCTGCGCCCGCTGGCCGGCCGCGCGCTCCAGCTGGATGTGGAGCTGGGCGGCGAGCGGCAGACGCTGCAGCTGCACGTGGGCAGGCCGGACGGGCCGCTCCGCTGCGAGCGCGAGCGCTACGAGGGCCGCGTGGTGGAGAACGCGCCGGCCGGCACGGCCGTGGGCGGCGCCGACGCCATCCTGGCGGCCGGCGCTGGGGCGTACGGACTGGTAGCCGGGAACGAGGCGGGCGCCTTCCGGCTGGAGCCGCGGCCGGGCGGCGCGCCCGGCGTGCGACTTGTCACGACGACGCCGCTCGACCGCGAGCGCCGCGCGCGCCACCACCTCGTGCTCGAGGCCGTGGCGCCGGCCGGCCACGAGCGCGCCCTGTGCCACGTGCACGTGCTCGTGCGCGACGAGAACGACAACGCGCCGGCGTTCGCGCGGCCGCTGTTCACGTTCGCGGCGCCGCTCGCTCTGCCGCACATGGCGGCCGTCGGCCAGCTGGAGGCGGCGGACGCGGACGGCGACCGGCTCAGCTTCCAGCTGGCCTCGCCCAGTGACGTGTTCGTCGTGGAGCCGCTGACGGGCCGCGTGCTGCTGGCCGGCGCGCCGCAGGCCAAGGCCTACGAGATCCTGGTGTCGGTCAGCGACGTGCGGGACGGCAAGCGGCGGCGCGCAGCGGCCGCGCCTGCGCGCGTCCACGTCGAGTTCGGCGGCCCGGCGGTGGTGTTCCCGCCGCGGCGGCCGGTCGGCGGCGGCGGCGAGGTGGATGACCACCACATCGCCAAGCGTCGCGTGCGCCGCGCCGTGCGCCCCACCAAGCGGCTCGAGTTCCGCGAGCGCGAGGGCAACCAGGAGGGCAAGGCCATGTTTCTGCTGGAGAAGGAGCTGGAGACGGAGACGTTCAAGATCCGCGACGAGAACCCTTGGGTGACGGTCGAGCCGAACGGCCAGGTCAGCGTTAAGAAGCCCTGGGACTATGAGGAGCTGGGCCACGAGAGGAGCATCGACTTCTGGGTGACGGTCAAGAACGTGCACGGACTGTCGGGCGGACAGGGAGGTGAGTTCAACCTCGGCACCGGCTCGGCCGGCCTCCGGTCTCTGTAGGCACGCTGTGACTGTACTGAACACGTGATTGAGCGGCGCGTTGTTGATTGTGGTGCTGTCTGAGCTGCACACCGTGACTGGACGGTGCGTTGTGGGTTGTGGTGGTGTCTGAGCGGGTCTCAGTTGCGGATGTCGGGCTGTGTCGTCGTGATTGGACAGCGCGCTGTCGATTGTGGTGCTGTCTGAGCTGCACACCGTGATTGGACGGTGCGTTGTCGGTTGTGGCGGTGTCTTAGCGGGTTTCAGTTGCGGATGTCGGGCTGTGCCGCCGTGACCGGGCGGCGCATGATGATTGTGGTGCTGTCTGGGCGGGTCTCAGATGCGGCTATCGGGCTGTGTCGCCGTGGTCGGGCGGCGCGTGATGATTGTGCTGCTGTCTGAGCTGCACACCGTGATTGGACGGTGCGTTGATGATTGTGGTGCTGTCTGAGCGGGTCTCAGTTGCGGATGTCTGGCTGTGTCGCGTGGCCCACGACCTGCCTAGCGGGACCGGCGGTACTGCACTTAACCCGACACATATCGGTGACAAACACGTCCGTCGTGAGGTTCGGTCACTTGTGTTGTCGCGCTGCTCTGTGTGCAAGCTGCTTAGGCTGCCAGCTTCTTCAGTATTACCCAGTGCAATGTTGGTGGACATTGCGCACGTCATGCTGTTGCAAACCTTGCCATGTTGAGACACCGAAATCGGTTCGGATATTTAATTTTTCACGATTGGAACTTTTTCCTGTTGTTGGTTTTGGTTTTGGTTTTGGTTTTGGTTTTGGTTTTGGTTTTGTTTTTGTTTGTTGGTTTTCCGATCTCTGTACCTCTCGAGACGGTGCGAAAGTGGTGGAGTCACCTTTGGCTGTAGCGGCGTTTGGCGTCTTTGGAACAGCACGTTGCGTCGCTGTTCGCCCTGGAATGGCGCAGGGCCTGCCGATTGTGCCGGGGTGCGGTGCGAGCGCACCGACCGGCGCCGCTCGACTCCGACCTGCACACTCTTTGACCGCCGGGAGGCCGGGCGGAACGGCTGCTGACGCAGCGACCGGACAGTGTCCCCTTCCCCCAGACCGTGTCCCCTCTCCACGGGCCGTGTTCCCTCTCCCCAGACGGTGTGCCTTCCCCGGACCGTGTCCCCTCCCCGAACCGTGGCCCTATTCCTGGACCATGTTCCTTCCCCCCGGATCGTGTCCCTACCCGCGGAACGCGTTCCTCCCCCCCGGAACACGTTCCTCCCCCCGGAACGCGTTCCCTCCTCCGGACCGTGTTCCTTCCCCGGACCGCGTTCCTCCCCCGGAACGGGTTCTTTCCCCCAGAACGCGTTCCCTCCCCCCAGGACGCGTTCCCTACCCAGGACCGTGTCTCCTCCCCGGACCGTGTTTCCTCCCCCGACCGTGTCCTCTCCCCTGGAACGTGTTCCCTCCCCCGACCGTGTTCCCCCCTACTGTGTTCCCTCCCCACCCCATCCCCTAACCCTGAGCGCGCCGCCCCTCCCTCCCTGGTCGCATCAGCTGGCTCAGTTTTTGCATGAGGCACATGGGGACTCATGGGCGGTATCGATCTTTTTTTTTTGTCTGCGATAGTACGCAAGTGTTGGATACATACGTTACCAGCTGGTGGTCCCATCTGCCACGGCCAATCGAAATGGAGGAGACGGGCGTGGCTGGATGCGGGCTGGAGCGGCGCGGAGAGCGATTCGAACCCGCTCTCACGGCAACAGGGTCATGCGGGCGGTATCCAGACTAGGAATCTCTCTGCCTCGGGTTGCGGCAGGCGACTCGCAACGGTCAGCCCCGTGCTGTGGCTTTCCTCGAAGCGCGACTCATTCCTCGTCAGTTCGTCGTTTGTCGTTTGTCCGTCGCTCCTCCGCCCCGTGTCCGGGTCCCGCTGCGGGTCGTCATTGACTCCGCCCTCCGTTGGTTGGCCGTCGTCTGTCCGCTTTTGTCCGTCACTTCCCTCTCCATTTCCAAATGGACGCGGCCATTGTTCCGTGCCGGCCGTCGGCCTGTCGCCCGTCTCGTGGGTCGTGTCTGTCTGTCGGCGGGCCGGCCGCGCCCCGTCCTCAGTCCTGGCCGCCGCCGTTGCCGGCCGGCGGCACGGCGGGCGCGTCTCATCCGCGGCCGGTCCGCGACTGCGGCGGTTGGCGGTTGGCGGTTAGCGGGCGGGGCGCCGATGTCCGCACGATAGCCGCCGATCAGACCCGGCTCGTCGCTCACGGCGCGTGGCCAGCGCGGGTGCCGCGCCACCGGAGTGCGACCGCGGCGCGACACGGGACTGGAGGCGGCCTGTGGGGAGGTCTTTTCGACGGGAATGGCGACGCTGGCGGCTGTTTGGAGCGCGCAGCGCCGTGGAGGGAAGCCGAACGGCTGCAGGAGTCGGCGGGATCTGTGCTGCTGGCCGACTGGGCTCGGCCGGCTGGCCGGCGGCGGTGCGGCCCGCACCCGCACCCGCACCCGCATCGGTGGCCGGGGCGCAGCCGGCGCACCCACGCCAGGCCGCCATCAGCGCTCGCCGTCGCCGGGCCGGACTGCGACCGTGACGGGCCCGCGAGCTGTCGCCGAGCACCTGTCCGGCGCCTGGCCGCGCTGGCAGCACCTGCCCGCGCACGCGGCAGGCGGCGCGCCGCGTCTGAAACGGCTCGTCGCCGCCGCCGGCGCCGACCGGTTAAATCATGAGCGGGCGGCGGTGTGGCGCGCCGCGGTGCCGCCCGATCCGCCGCCGCGCGCCGGAGAGGTATCGATCGGGCCGAGATGACGAATGCAGCGCGGCCCGGGTCACGTGCGCCGGCCGGCCGGACGATGACCTCCGGCCGGCGGCGGGCCGGGGCGGACGCCGCGCTCACCTCGGCGCCGCGGCCGCGAGCTGCGGGCCGAGTGCGGGTGATTTGTGGACGGTCGCGCCCGCGGTCGTGTCGCGTTCGCCTCACGTTGCCTCGCGCGCGATGGGCGCCGTAACTCACGCGGTGAGATGTCCCCCGGGTGGCAGCGGTGGACGCCGTCCTCGAGTCGGCGCGCGCGCGCGGCGCGAGAGCCGTGTGTCATCTCCGTCGAGCGGCCCGTCGACCGTTCAGTCGGGCCCATCTGTCATGGCCGGCATACCGCCGTTTGCGCGTCCCACCCAGTCCGTCTGTCGCCGCCTGGCGACGGTGCGGCGCCGCCGGGGTCGCTCCGCCGTGTCCGGGCCGGTGGGCGGGCGCGGGGTGCCGCTCGGACGGTGGCCGGTGCAGCCGGCCGGGCCGGGCCGGGCCGTGACCTCGCCCGGCTGGCGGCCCGGCGCCCGGCGTCAGCTGTCAGGCGCCGGCCGCGCGCTGTGGCCTCGTCCGGTGCAGGTCGCACGGCCCGGCCGACCCCAGCGACGCCGCCGACGTCGGCGACGGACCGCGGGGGGCCGGCCGACCGTGAGAGGTGCGCAGCAGCCCGGCGGCCGGCGGCGCGAAGGATCGAAGGATCGGTGACCTGCCCGGTGCTCGTGCCGCTCGAGCGTTCCGGATGGCGGCTCCTTTGTGACGGCCGGCCGGCCCGGTACGGCGCCGAACCGTTCGTCGGGAATGTGACGGCCGTCGCCGCCGGCTGCGCCGCTGAGGGCCGGGCTGACGGCGGAGATGGACCGCTCCCCACTGTGGGCAGGTCGGCTGGCTGTTGGCCGCTGGCCGCTGGCCGCTGGCTGCAGGCTGCTGGCCGGACGCAGTCGGGCCCAGCGACGGCTGCGAGAGCTTAGCCCGTGTGGGGACCGCGCGGCCTGGACCGAGGAGCGCAGACCGTGTGTCGGGATACGGCCGGAGTCTGGCGGCCCGGGACGACAGACAAACCACGGACCAGCCAGTCGTCCGGGACGCCCTCCTTTCATCACAACCCCATGGCGGCGCCGTCGGTCGCTGTCCCGTCTCCGCCGCTAAATGACCGCCGCAACCGGTCATCATCTGAGGCCTTTGTCCCGGGAGTTCCCGCGCAGCGATTAAACCTGTCTGTGGCCGGTTTAACGTCGCGTCCTTGGAAAGCCGCGGCGGGAATGAGCAAGCTTTTTGTCTCTGAGCGCTTCATTTGGCATGAGCCTGTGGATTCGGATTAACCTAAGTGGACAGGCCTGCCAGCGTTCACACGGCGCCCTTGATGAAATAACAGCCGCAGTGTGGGGCGGCAGGCTGCCGCCACTGTCACGGAAACATCGCCACCGCGACCACCGGCGTGTAAACGCTGTGGTTGCGAGCGGCGGCGTGTAAACGGCGTAACGACAGCGAGCGGCTGCCCTGCGCTCTCCTGCAAGCGGACCGGAGCGGCATGCGGCCGCCGCTAATGGCACGCCGCAGTCGACCGCGGCAGACAGCGGCCGACGGCTGTGGGAGCCGACGCGACCGGCGACCGCGCCCCGCCCTGGCATGACCCGCGGCCGCGGGCGCTGGGACGGGCGCGGTGGCGGCGTGACGGCGGCGCGGCCGCCGCGGCGCGATCGTCGACCGCCGATCGGCGGCGCCGGCCGCCGGGCCGTGGCCTGCTCCGCCTGTGGAGCGATGGAGTCGGTGGCGGCCCGGCGGCGAGGCAGGCGGGCTCTCTCCCCCGCCGGCCGGCGGGCGCGCCGAGGCCGTCGGCCGGCGGATTTGCATGCAGAATCGGCTGTTATGGCGCCTTGTGCGAGCGTAAACGGCGTGTTTACGGGAGGGTCCTGAAAAGATGTAACGGACCGTTCGCCAACCGCAGACGATGTGGGAATTGTGCGGAGGATCTGTTCGTGCACGCAAGCTGCTTACGCGATGTCGCGGCGGGGAGGCTGGGCGGAGGGCTGCGTCGGCTCTGTAGACAGATGGGCGGTAACTTGGGGCCGGTGATTTCCCAAGGGATTTAGTGGAGCTCTCCCGAAGCCTCGCTGCCGAGTTGGTAAATTAACGTACTCGTCCTGGGCGCCGGCCAAACTGTTCGGCAATCGGGCTCTGAGAGGCCCAGCTGCTCGGTGAGTGAGTGCCGGGAATGGTCAGGGCCT